AATACCAACCATTTAGTTAAATTACACATAAATAATAGTTTCAAGTAAATAATATCAACAGATAAAACTTAAAATTAATAATTAAAAATCAAATATCTTTTAAAAAAGTTTAATTTATTGACTATTAAAAAACTATCATTTGTTAAATGTCCGACCCGGATTTTCCACCCTCGGGGGGTCGTGATGGCGCCTACTCGTGGAAGCTAGGCAAGCCGAAAACCTTAGCAAACATTAACCTATTTCGTTTTATACATGATTAACAATAAAAATTATCAATGAATAAGCAATTAAAAGATAACGAAAAGTAAAATTTAGCGGAAGTCAGAAACTAAATATAGAAACAGCGTCTAGAAAGCCAATACAAGTCTCTACCCCAGCACCTGGTGTCACAACCATACACGGACTGTCTAGGATTACTACAAATAAGAGTTTGAAATAAAGGACATAGTCTGTCTCGAATACAAATGTCAACAGAACATGAAAATTGTAAGAAGAGACGCCGGGCCTGCGGACGCCAACAAGGCTACCTCGGAGTCTCGTGGACTGAAGGTCGCTCCCTAACACTGTGCGCACCGTAAGCTGCTCCAACACCTGGATCTGTGCAAAATAGCACAGAGTGTAGCATCAGCACAACCGACCCCATGTGCTGGTAAGTGCCTAGCCTAACCCCGGCGAAGTAGTGACGAGGCTAGACCGGACTACCACATAAACCTGTGCAGTTATATATATATATATATATATATATATATATATGTATATATATAGCGGAATCGAAATACAGAGACAAGTAATTAATATGGGAGGGGTAGCATGCTATGGGGGAAATGACAATTTCAAGTAAAAGTCGTCCAGTAACAAAGGAAACAACACAACTCAGACATTAATAAAGGAAACAGAATTCAACCAGTGCACGGCATCACCCTTCGTGCTTTTACTCTCATCCTTACCAAGCAATGATATAATAAAGTGTGCACGGCATCACCCTTCGTGCTTTTACTCTCTTTCCTCACATATAATCGATAGAATTGGCACGAAATGGTACATCGTGCGGCACGGCATCACCCTTCGTGCTTTACTCTTTGTCCTCACCATAAGCAAACAATGCACGGCATCATCCTTCGTGCTTTACACTCGTTCCTCACAACAAACAAACAATGCACGGCATCACCCTTCGTGCTTTAACACTCTTCCTCACCCAAACAACAATCACAAACAAGGGGCAAGGGAATAAACAAAATGTCACGACCCGGATTTCCCACCATCGGGAGTCGTGATGGCGCCTACTCGTAGTAGATAGGCAAGCCATTTTAATTACTTTTCCATTAATGAACAAATCTTTTTAACAATTTATGACAACAATATAAAGCAACAAAATTAAATAAAAGCGGAAGTCTTAATTATAGGAACTGAATAAAACATGGAGTAGTCAATATAAGCCTCTACCCAAGACTGGTGTCACAATACTCACGAACTGCTAAGAATTTCTAAATACAAGGGTCTGAAAGAACACATAAGCTGTTTGTCTCGAATACAAAGAGGCAACAGTCTATAAGAGAGAATAAGAGAGAGACGACGGGCCTGCGGACGCCTGCAAGGCTACCTCGGGTCTCACGATACTGAAAGCCTGCTCCCGTGCTAATGCTGCTGCTGCTGCTCGAAACCTTGGCCTGTGCAAAAAAATGCGCAGAGTGTAGCATCAGCACAACCGACCCCATGTGCTGGTA